AAAAATCTGTTTTATCTTGTGTATGCATGATAGACCATCTTAGGTATAAAAATGCATACCCAGAGCACCTCCTTTTAAAAAATCCCTCAATACCAGTTGAAGCTTATATATAAATTAAATTTATATTTAATTTTTGAGGTCTTTTAGAAACTGTGCACTCTTCATTCTCCTTTGTGTTCCCAGTGCCAGATAGAACAGATTATTTATTTTCTCTAGCAATGGGGAAAAATATCTTTTGTGTTCTGTTGTTTATCACCTAAGTATCACAAGAAATAAAAGAAATAATAGGTATCCCAGAAATAAAAGGTAATGTTGTTGTGTTCTTTTTTTTTTCAAAAGACATCACTCAGGGTTTTTTTTTTTAAGGTTGGAAAAAAGTTTAATGCTTACGTATTTATATTTGGAAAAATAGAAATTAGCGATAGAAGAAACAGAAGAGCAAAATATTTTGCAAATGCATATTCAACTATTTGGGAGTTTAAAAACAGTAGCATTTATTTTCTAAATAAGCATGAGCCAGATCACATTGCACAGCATTTGGGCAAATTGCATATACAAATTTTACTCAAGTAAGATTTGAAGCCTATAGAAGTTGACAAAGTCTGATTCCATGCTAATCTATTCTGTGTTGATCCACAGAAGGCCTCCTTGAAAAAATAATTTTGTAGGGAGATGGACCATTTATTTTCTTCCAAATTAACGTTGCTCAAGATGAATCCAAGCACAAGTGCCTGTATACCTGTTTTTCTCAAATATGATTATGATGTGAGATAAAGGTTGTGTATTCATCAAAATATAATCATCAATGAGCATAATAACTACAGGGTTTTCTATGTGCGTGTGTTTTCCTAGTAACCTCATAATGATCATACATCAAAGTCTTAAACAATTTGTATGCAGCCTTTAGCTGCTTTCCTGGTGCCTTTGGTTTATTTTAATAGTGTGAATGATGCATGACTGAGTGAAACATAATGACAATATGTGCTTTTTTCTTGGAATATGAGTTTGTTCTTTGAAAGAATATCTATCCTCAGACCAGTGAGACATACATATTGACTTGGTTCACTTACTACTCATTTATATGCCTGCATTGAATCAGAGTTTTATATAAGTATATATTTCAAACAAAACTATCTTCATATTAGGTAGCTAAATAACTAATTATAGCCTTTTCTTTATCAAGTAACATTAAATATACAGAACAAAGTTAAATATGAATTAAATAATTCAAGAAAGTTGTGCTACCTTTAATAAGAAACATTGCTGGTATTAATCTCTAATAAGAAGCATTTAGAAGATAATGTTGGTTTATCCCAAAGCAATTACACAACCCTGATGGGGCTCAATGAAATCGAGTTTGACACCCCTGATGTAGATGATAAATAGGAACAGAGATTACTGAACTTTTCAGCATCCCACATAATAGGAATTGCAGGTGTGACCTCACTCCCAATCATCAGTAACTGGACTGCTTCATAGGAAAGAAAAAAACCAGCCTAATACTGTGATACTGACTCCCATCCCACAGAACTGATCCAGAAGGATATTGTGGTTGATGCTATCAGAGCTCACCAAAAGCTCAAGGAGAGCAAAGACACTTTGAGAAATCATCTCAAAGTGACCAATTCAATTTCCATCCCATGCCCAGGCCTGAGTTCTGACTGAAAGGGATTGCAGTAATCCATTTCATCCAGGGCCCACTGGTCATGCAATTCAGATAGATGTTCATCTATTGATTCCTGAAGGTTTTTGTAAGAGCTCAAACTGGAACTAAGTTGGATGTAAAACAGAGACATGAACTAGAATAGTCCTATAGGATACAAGAATCACTTGGGCAACTGGGAACTTTTTCTGGAAGCAAAGCCACAATATTTTAATACAGTATGGGGTTTAGGGGAGACATAGTTAAGGACATCTTGAATAGATAAAACTTTTTTTTCAGAGTATATAAGATGACTATATATAAGATGACTAATGCACCAAAACAAATTCCTTGTGTGTCCAAACACGATAAAGAATTCTATTCTAATCCAACCAAACACCCACCCATCCATCCATCCATCCATCCATGTTTAAAGAATGTTTGGTTTATCATCTAAAAACCTGGTTTCTTCAAAGGTTTTCTGATTAATCAATTGAAGTTGGGCAGCTAATGAATTCAAATAAATAAATAAATTATGAATTCTGTTTCCAACTAAATGGGAGGGCACAGAGTTGAGGAAAATATTCTAAGCAAACTATTGATATTCTGTTGGTTGGATTTTAGTGGTTTGTTGACTAAAGCATTATGCGTTAAGTGAAAATGGCTGAGTTCATTTATAACCAACCAAACAGGTCCCATTATGGCTTTCTATGATAAGTGAACCAGGCCACTTCCTCAAAATGATTCTGGTTTAAAATAGAAAAGTCATAAGGTTGAATAGACTAAGGGAGGAAATGTTTTTATAAGATCAGGAGGTAAGTTGACCAGGTTGTATTTTTTTCCTCTAAGAAATAATCAGAATGGCCTTTTCCTCTCTTTTCTTACTAATATAATGCCATAGATGAATCTATTGTAGTCCATGACTTCAGTTAGAATACTGACTGCAATCAGAAGGTACTTATTTTTTTTCCTGGAAGTATCTTCTTTTGGGGAGTAAATTTCTAAAAATTTGATGGAAAAACAAATTTCATCATGTTTTTTTGTAGGACAATGAATCTAGTAAATATATTTGGAATGATCAGGTACCATCAGTCACAAACTGAAACTGAAAAATTAGTTATGAAAGTTGTTTTAAAAATACATTGCAATTCTTGTCTCAATTTGACATAAATAGCTCTTTTTAAAATAAATACATAAAATATCTTACTTCACTTTTTCTTTAAAATTCTTTACAAGCAGTATTTTTCTATTTAAGAGAGAAAAAGATCCTTTGCAACAATTTATCTCTGTGAATTTGATGCTAGCTCTCTCCATGGATTTATCCAGTAACATGCATAAAATCACCCATATAAACTTGACTATTGTCTTTCATAGCATTGTTACAACTTTCTTTCTTCTATATGTTGACATTAAAAAGATAACAGTTGGAGACACACAGAGAACACTGTTTTCACAATAGTATTTGTGTCTAGACCCTTAACTCTTTAATGCAAGGATTTTCTTTCTGTAGATCTGTCTGTAAGATCAAAAGAGAAAATAACTTTTTATTTGTTTTGTTTTTTATTTAATGTGATAGAGAGCATGAGTGCCCTCTAGTGGGGACAATGAGAAATGCTAATTAAAAATATGCTTAAAACAGACAGGATTTATTGCAGGAGGGTGTTTTTTTTTTGCTAGCATAATACTAAAATGGAGACTGAAATGTCAACACATGATTTGGTATTTAAATGAATAATTTAGCATTGAGGGAAGGAAAAAATATCAATAGTTTTAAAACTTGACAAATAATTGAAAAGAACAAAATCAAACAATATATTTTGATTCTTTAAATTCATTAATCACATTAACATATTCTGAATGCTAAGCTGAGTGATAAGCACCTTCTGTCACATTGTATATTGTGTAATATGAATATTTCTCTTTTTGTTCTAAAATATATTGATACTATAAGAAATTGTACAATGAATATGACTTACTAATGTTCATTGTCCAATATCCAGCTAGAATTCAGGGGTGTCAAATTGGCCGCCTGCGAGCTGGGTGGGTGCGTCACACACAGGCTACGCCCATCCCAGCTCCACAAAGGAGAAAAATTGTGAAACGTCACGTGATGGCAATGTGACACCACGGGTTTGACACCCGTGAGCTAGATAGTAGTGAAGATTTTTGAATTAAACATCCAGTTTTGAAAGGCTGTGCAGTTCATTTTTGCCTTTAGAATATGCATTTGATTAAAATTCTTTTAATATTATTACTTTATGACCTATGCTAACTTGATTTTCAAATTATCAAAATAGGTTTTTATACACATCCATTAGTAGATGGGGCAGTTTGGTGACTTAGCAGTTAAGATGCTAGGCTCATCAGTTGGAAAGCTGACAGCCCAGGTTTGAGATCTGAGAGCTGTGCGATGGGACCATTCTTTCTCGAGTTCCTGCCAACCTAGCAATTCAAAAGCATGCAAATGTGAGTAGATAAATAGGCAGTACTTCTGTGGGAAGGTAACAGAGCTCCATGATGTCATGCTGGCCACATACCTGCAGAAACATCTTCACACAGTTCTGGCTCAATGGCTTTGAAATGGAGATGAGCACAATTCCTCTGAATAGCAGCATTTGAACCTATCTAAATATTAATCTTATTGGAAGAATCAGGTAGTGGCTCCTGGAAAAGATCATTTCTGGAAATAAGGAGAAACTTTCTGACAACGAGAACAATCAACCAATGGAACAGCTTGCCCTTGGAAGTTGTGGAAGCACCATCACTTGAGACCTTCAAGAAGAGATTGGACTACCATTTGTCAGAAATGGTGTAGGGTCTCCCGCTTGGGCAGCGGGTTGGACTAGATGACCTATAAGGTCCTTTCCAACTCTGATTATCTGTTAATCTGTTAAGTTTCTGTCTGGCACCCCATCAAATTGGAACGTGTTCCTCTGGAAAATCTACCTGGTATCCCAACAGGTTTCTCTCAACTACTCTGTAAAAACATTAATAAATGCCTTTATTATGCTAAGTGTGCTACAGCTACTTGGTTGTTGTTTTAATTGTAGTTCACTTGTTTTTAGGATGTTTGGCAATGCTTTACAATTTTTGTTAATTGTTTTCATTAAAATGTTAGAAGATTTTAGGTCATTGTGTGGAAAGACAAAAAAGAAACATTTCAAAAACAGTTTATATTTTATTTACACATTAATTTTTTTATGCTGACTATCTGCCCTATAATGTTACTATGTGAAAATGATCTTGGCAAGGGCTTCTAACCAGCAACTGCTGGAAAATGTCTTATCCATGCAGTGTCTTTTTGCTATAAGTCATCTTTGTGCCTCTCTCCCCCCCTCCTTTTTCTGTCTCTCTCCAGCTCCATCTGATCCACTGGAACACTACCATGTATCACAGTATTGATGAAGCAGTTGGAAAGAAGAATGGCATAGCCATTATTGCCTTATTTGTGCAGGTAATTTTCCTTCTCTTTGCCATGATCATTTATTGTCTCTTAATTGCAGTTTCATTGTAATACAACCGTGATGGGTGAAACTATGGGTGTCAATTACTCCCTTCAACGGCTATTACAGAAACAAAAGCAGACTGTCATTATGTCAATTTTACTCTATGTTTTTGGCAATATGAGCTCCTTTCATTCAAGCTTCAGATGCCACTTAAGTTTGTGTGAATAAACTGAACTTATAAAAGTTGAACTTTGGTGAACTGAACTCAGCATCTTTTCATGCTGTGCAGATGAACCAGGATGGAATTATTAAGGTTGTGATAAGTTGGGATCTTTATTCAATAAAGGTTTATTGGGTTTTTGAATTATCCATTTTCTTTCTTCTTCTGACAAAAAAAATAAATTTCCATTTTTCAGAAGCAATTTCATTATGGGGGTTCTCTGGGACCCCCAAAGGGTTTCTTAATGTAGTTTTGAGTTTTGTGTTGCTCCCCAACTTTGAAGAGAAATATAGGAGACGTTTGGAAGAGTGAAGGGATCATGGACCATATCATGTCTGGAACTGCTGTGAACTTCCAAGTAACAGGATACAAATGGCCCTTGACTTATGGACATTCACTTAATTATGGTTCAAAGCTATGATGGTCTTAGAAAAAAATAACTCATGTTCCATATTTGCACTTTCGACCATTGCATCCCCTCAAGGTCATGTCAATTCAGGTGCTTGGCAGTTGGCTTATATTTATAACTCTTTGTAGAGCCCTGTGGTCATGTGATCATGATTTGCAACATTTTTGCCAATTTCTGGCAAAGAATACCCAAGGGGAAATTGGATTTGTTTAATGACCTGGTGATTTGCTTAACACCCACTGATTATTATTTTTTTGTAAAAATGGATCTTCCAACTCAATTTACGACTGCAATGACTTATGAGGAAAATTTCAGTTCCGATTGTGTTTGTAAGTCATGGACTACCTATAGTATAATAGTGAATTGCAACTAGAAATGCTTCTTTATGATCCATATTTGAATGCTTTTTTGTAGACTTCTATTTCGCCTGTCCTAAATTCCTTGTAGACTTCAGTTTGATTGGAAAGATATATGGCTCTAGTGCAGAAAGAACTATAATTGCTTTGGAAGCTGTTATCCAATTTCTTCAGATCTAACCTTGGAATTACTCAGAAAGTTAAATTGTTAAATAAATCTCTTTAACGTATTACTCCATCCCATTCTCGATTCAATGTGATCTTTTTTTGGCAGGAGGAGTAGGTATTTTTACTTTAATTGAAAATAACTCTTCACTTGATTCTTAAGTGCTGCATATCCTATGATTAAGAACCAATTGGGTGAATGCCAAACTCATTTAATGTAAAACATACGCATAAGTACATGTTATATAATTACAAGCAGCTAGGTACATATTTATAAGTTCATGTCATATAATTATAAGCAACTAGGTACAAATAATAGGTGGCTCAGTGGCTAAAACACTGAGTTTGTCAAACAGAAACGTCGGCAGTTTGGTGGTTGGAATCCCTAGCACCGCGTAACGGAGTGAGCTCCCATTACTTGTCCCAGCTTCTGCCAACCTAGCAGTTCGAAAGCATGTAAAAATGCCCCATGACCACGGAGACATCTTTGGACAGCGCTGGCTTTTTGGCTTTGAAATGGAGATGAGCACAGCCCCCTAGAGTCGGGAACGACTAGCATGTATGTGCAGGGGAACCTTTACCTTTAGGTACAAATAACAATTGACTATCTAGGATGAGGTGCATATTGTGGGATATTTAAGAGTTGTAGATATTTGAATAGCTTTTTTCTAAGGCTTGAGTCAAAACAGCCCAATTAGATTTTATGCTAGTTAATAAAAATAATAATCAATGGTTCCTACTTATATGTTTATATGTCTCTCTGGTACCAATCATTTGCATATTTTGGCTTGGACTCAGAATGCAACTTTTGTTGTTATGAATGAAATGCTGTCCACATTTTAGAGCTGCTTCTACTCTATAATCACTTGGATGTATTTGCAGCTCAATTACATGGTTCTAGTGTTTTATTCTTATGGCCAAAACAAACAAAATTCAACTAAACTGAGCCCAGCAAATATGCAAGACGTTGGTGAAGGTTGTTTAACTTATGCAAATGTTTTCTATCCAGTTAATGCATTTTAAATCAGCTTCCAAATGTGTTTATATTTTGCATTTTTTAATATCCAAAATTATGTTTTTGAGAACAACCTTAATTTTGTGCAATAATCTGATGGAATTTTGAATGTTCTCTCATTTCCCTTCCCAGAGACTGCACCCTTTAATTTGAAAAGAATAGAAAATTAACTTCTGAACCCATCCAACCAAAGGGAAGCAATCACTATTCTGTGTAATTGGTTCTGTAGTCAGTCTTTTGTAATGTAGAGGTTTTATTTTCAGTTGGATTGTGCTCTTCTGTCATTTTAATCTGCCACTCTACATCCATCACCTTTTTAAAAAATTTTTTTATTAATTAAGTATAATAAAAATAATAAATCCAAACTCAGCACCAAGGACTCCACTAATCACCAAACATTCCATTTATTCTCATGTCTGTTTTATTACTATTATACATTTCTATAGAGCATCATTTATCTACACAGATCCAGAAAAGGTATATTTTTAGTCCCCTCTATCTTCCCATTTTTCTGAGAAGCTGTTCTGTCATTTACCTGATCTTTATTCCTGGCATTCACCGCAATTCATCAGCATTTCTTTAAGTTCTTTATAAGAGTGAATTATCAGTTTCTCTTTGTCTTTTATAGAGCAAAGTTGTGTCTGTGACTGTCCTTAATTCTGAGGTATCTATTTTTTTCCCTTGAATAGTCAGCCTTATCTTCAAGGATCTAAAATCAGTTTTTTTAATTGTTACAGCAGTGTGGAATGCCTTTTCTGTCCTTTGCTACTGGTTGTTACTCTAATCCACTGATCTTGTTTCTCTTCCCCACTTTATTGAGTGTTTCTCCTATTATGTGTTTCTGTTGTGGGGGATTCATTTTCTTGAGTTGATACATCATCTTATCATTCAAAGTATAGCCATTTGCTATCCTGAACCATTGATTTTTCTTCAAGGACTGCTGTGAACGTGCTTTTGCTGCAAATACTATTTTCAGGCTCCTGCAACCATGGCACAATTTGTGAGTCATAATTGCTTATAGCTGTTCATTATTCTTCATTTTTGCTTTTTGGATACCATTAATATTAAAACTTTTATTTGTGCTTTTTCCCTTCTTAGTGTCTCACATTAGCTAGCTGAACTTGACTTATTAGCATTCCCTTTAACTCCTTCCTTGGAATCTTATATTCTTCATGTCCCTGCCAACATTTATTTATTCATTCAATTGCATTCAATTCAATTCATTCAGTTTGTCAAGTCGGGCACTCTAACAAAGGACCATACGTCTGGAGTAATAGAAGGACCTTCAATGAAACCAGCTGATTTTAAAATCCCGTTCAAACTCAATGTGGAATAGTTTTTTTCTAATTACACACATGCACATGCTTGCAATTAAGATATTATAGAATAACATTATAGATATGCACATGACATACATTTTATATACATTTATATAAAAATGTGGGATTAAAAAAAAATCTAATAATCATGATTAACTACCTGTACAGAATTGCAATATATACAATATCTCATGGAATCAGTCCTTCAGCTGCTGATTATGCAGTTACTTTATAGCCTATATTGCATCATAGATAAGAAGTCCATGGCAGTTCATACCTTACTCAGAAAAGTATCATGCAAGGTCTTCTTACTCTTTCCTAGCCTTCTAAACCCACTAGTTTTTATTTCCTTTTCTCTCTCTTTTGTTCTTTCATAACATATGTAAGTTAAATGAGGAAAGGACAAACTGAGAAGAAAGGAAACAAGACTACAGTGTACCAAGAGCAGTGGAGACTAAGATCTTGATGAGCCAAGCTTAAATCTAAGTAGATTGTAAAATACTCCTGATAAGTCTGGTAATTACTTGCTTACAATATCCATAGCATTCTTGTTGTTAGGATATAATAGAGGTAAGTTCCCTTGAACTCTTTAGAAAGAAGATGGTTTTTCATGTGAGAAACAACAACATGGATGTTTTGAACTTCAGATAAGAACAACAACATATATGTATCATGAATAACATTACTTGTATTTAGTTTGATATACCAAAACGTCAGAGAGTAATGCGTTGTTTAACCTATTTCAGAGGTAGAATAACCTCTATTATATTTCAGTATTCATTCTTGGTTTTATTTCAGATAGGAAAGGAACATTCAGGCCTAAAGGCTGTGACTGAGATTCTGCAAGACATTCAGTATAAGGTAAAATATCTTCAATACACAAGATATTGGGGATCAGGGACTTAATGTGATCTGAATTTGTGCAGAAACGGAATGTATAGCAGTCATTTATTTAATTTACTTATACTTCTCTTTTCTCCTCTAACATCCAAAATATTGAAATATTAATTGCAATTCTATATTAAAAATCACATTTGACATTAACATTGATTAATAAAAAAGAGAAACATCTTTATAATCAAGACACGAAGCAGCTAAAATATAAACTTTAATTTGATAGCCAAAGTGAAACTATGCTTAATTTGCAAATATGCTTCCAGCTCAGAGCCATAAGCAGCTTTAGAGATTTTAATGTTTTTAGTGTTTTAATGGCTTTTTTTTACTGTTTTTATTTTTAAACTTTTTAAAGGAATTTAATTGTAATTCACATGTTTATGAATTGTGAGCAGCCCAAAGTAATTTTGTATAGAAATCAATCAATCAAACAAACAAATAAATAAAATAAGCTAAAAAATCTATAAGTGCTCCAAAATAGGGACCTCCTTTTACAGGTGTACTAAAACTTAATAAAAAATAAGCTCACAATTCAAAATTCCAGTTTGCCATGAACACGTCTGACTTATCTTGATTTAACTTTCATTTGTTCTGTCTTCTAGTTATTATTGAACTTAGGCCATTATAAATGGTACTAACATTGTTAGATTTGAATTCTAAAATTCTATAGGTCTACTGATGACACCCTTTCTAAACACCTGGATAACCCTCCCCCTACCCCCAAATAATCTTGAACAGAAGGGAGGCAAAATGAAATCATATGGTTCATCATACCTCAGTATAAACATTCCTTCCGAGCTTGACTTGAGAGAAAGGAACAGAACTCTTGCAAAACAGTGACCCCAAAGATCAACCTTCCAGACAATCCAAAAGGATACCATTCGTGAATAGTCTTCTACTATAGCCCTGTGTAGGAATTTTGGATACTGAACCTGCAGTAAACATTTATAGTAGGGAAGATTTTCTAGATGCTTTGGTTTCCATATTGGTTTCCATATTGCTAGAATTGGATTATGTGAAACATTCAATTGTATATTTTGAAGATTCTACATTTGTAGTATCCAAGCAGTTGTCTCTAGTTCAAGTCATTATTTTCAATCCAGAGTATTACTAATTCCAATCACTTTGATATTGTTAGAGGTTGATAGATATTTTAAGACTAAGTCCAATCTGAACAATGATGTGGCATTTTGAACCTTCCTTCCTTCCTTCCTTCCTTCCTTCCTTCCTTCCTTCCTTCCTTTTGAAGTACTTCAGAAATTACAGTACACTTTTCCATAAATTCACGTCTTTTTTTTTGTTTAAAAACTAAAAACAATCTGGATTCTATTAACTTTTCAGGGCAATTCCAAGACAATACCTTGCTTCAATCCTAACACATTATTACCAGGTGAGTACTTATTTTTGTGCCACCACATTTTTGTGCACACTAAACACTTGGGCTTTTTTGTTTTGTTAATAGTTAGAGTCTTTGCATAAAAATGTGATATGGTTGATACCTAGGATGCTGGCAGCCACTTGTATCACCATTAGTGCCAGTCAGTGATATTTTTCATACATTTTTAAATGCTCAGTTGATTGTTTCATGTTTAATGACTAATAGAAATAATAATAATAATGGTAAAGGAGGTGAACAAGGGAAACCTCTTGAAAACAATGAGATTGAGAGCAGAATGTTGAAAGGAAACATGTCAGTAACAACAGCAAATGTCGCTTATGCAACGAGAAAGATGAAACAGTGGATCATCTTATCAGTGGCTGCAGGAAAATTTCACATACCGATTATCTACAACGTCATGATCGAGTTGCTAAAATCATACATTGGAAGCTTTGCCAGAAGTTTGGGTTTGAATGTAGTAAAAATCACTGGGAACACCAAGTTGGCAAAGTTTTTGAAAATGAACAGGTCAAGATCCTGTGGAACTTTTGGATACAAACAGACAAACTTCTGTCCCACAACATGCCTGACATCACTATTGTGGAAAAGAAATAATATTTATTGCTATTGCAATACCAGGTAATGCACGAATTGAACAGAAACAGCTACAAAAAATTATGAAGTATTGTGATTTGCACATTGAAGTTGAGCGATTGTGGAGGAAGAAATCAATGATTGTTCCAATAGTAATAGGAGCCCTTAGAGCAACACCCAAAGGATTGCCTAGATACATGAACCTTTTGAACTTATTAAAACTGAATTTGCAAAAACTCTGTCTATAGTATATACTCAGACATTACATTAACACCTCTTAAGTTCTTGAACTGTTAAGTTTTTACCGATCCCAGACTGTGAATTGAATTGAAGATTAAATCTTTAATCATCATAATAATAATAATAATAATGATGATGATGATGATGATGTAGTGACATTGACAGGCTGTATTTGCTCAGAAAAGCAGGCGGCAGAGGTCTTTTGCAAGTGAAGCAGACAGTGGAAGAAAAGAAGCATACTCTGGCAGATTATGTGAAAGACAGTGTTGAACCAGCTTTGATGGAGGTCAACAATAGCAAGCTGCTCAAAGTGCAGCAAACCAAGAATCAGTATAGGAAAACAGAGATGCAAACTTGGGGTGACAGCTGGTGTAACAAAGCACTGCATGGACAGTTCCTTGAAAAGATCCAAGGAAAAGTAGATAAGGAAAAGACTGGTTATGGCTGATCAACACTGAAGAAAGAAACAGAAGGCCTGATTCTTGCAGCCCAAGAACAAGCCATCAGAACGAATGCAGTCAAAGCCAGAATAGAAAAATCTGCTGATGATCCCAAATGCAGACTCTGCAAAGAAGCGGATGAAACCATCAATCACATACTGAGCTGTTGCAAGACAATCGTTCAGACTGGCTACAAACAATGTCACAACACAGTAGCTCAGATGGTCTACTAGAACTTGTGTCACAACTACCATCTGCCTGTAGCAAAGAACTTGTGGGATCATAAGCTTGAAAAAGTGGTCGAAAATGAGCATGCAAAACTACTGTGGGACTTCTGAATACAGACTGACAACACAATTTGGAACACAATACGCCAGATATCATGATTGTAGAGAAGAAAAAAATGTGGATCATCAACATTGCCATACCTGGTGACAGCAGAATTGACAAGAAACAGCTTGAAAAAATCACCAGATATCAGGACTTGAGAATCGAACTGCAGAGACTCTGGCATAAACCAGTGCAGATGTTTCCAGTGTTACTCAGCACACTGAGTCCTGTGCCTAAAGACCTAGGCAAGCACTTAAAAATAATTGGTGCTGACAAAATCACCATTGGTCAGCATCAGAAGGCCATCTTACTGGGATCTGCTCACATAATCCGCCGATACATCATGCAGTCCTAAACGTTTGGGAAGTGTTCAACTAGTGATTTGTGATATGAACCCCAGCCTAGTCATCTCGTTTGCTGTGTACACCGTTGTTTTTTGTGTATAATAATAATAATAACAACAACAACATGCCTGATGTTCCTTTGGATGTCTAATATCTACAGTAGCACCAATATTCAGATTAATCTGCACAATTGTTTGATCTGTAGCTTATAACAACTGCCTTCCTCCTCTTCGACCTTCAGCATTATTTGTTTGTAATGGAAGAACCCTTCATCTGTTTTTAAATTTTGTTCCTATAATTCCATTATTTAAGTACATTAGATAATTGCATGACAGTGTTTTTCAACCAAACATGATAAAGCTAAGTATATATAGACAACAGTTTTATACATATTTACTTCTTAATAGATTTCAGTAGGAACTAGATAACTATTTACATGTGAGGAAGCTATATTAAACATGGTAGGAACTTCAAAAACATATGCAAAAGAAAAACTGTTATGAAGAAAAGGTCAGCAGCATTAAATTTGTACACTTGTTTAGGATAATTCTGAAAAGTGAAAGATTAAAACTGAAGCTGTTACATGGAAATGAAAGCTATATAGTCACAAAACACCAGAAAAACTTATTTGCACAAATATCCTACATCTATATCTTGAGTTCAGTGCAATAGGGGGATAAATGGGCTATTTCAGCTATTTTTCTTGTTAGAGGTTCTTATGCATGTCAACAAACTGGAGGTACCAAACTATAGGAAGCATTGTGGTTGCTCTGCTTTCAATATGAAATGTTTCTAAAGGAAAGGATTGCTTTTATAAGAACTATATTGGAAAACATGTTTTCTGTTGCATTCTGCTAGAAAATCAGTCTACACAAACCTCTCTGTGCTGCGGAACAATCTAGGGATAAAATTCTTCAGGTTGCCTTTTATGAGATTCTTCGTAGGGGCTCTGAACAGCTATAGATTGCATACTGTAAGATGATTTCATTTCTTCAAATACGTTTACATTATTGCTTTCAAACCACGGTATCCATTCAATTTCAGATCCACTGCTAAGAGACTATTGGGTGTATGAAGGCTCTCTCACGGTTCCACCCTGCAGTGAAGGTGTTACATGGATCTTATTTAGATATCCTTTAACGGTATCCCAAGTTCAGGTAATGGTTGTTCTTATGACCACAGCCTGAAATTCTCAGTGAAAGGTTACAGCATACAAATACATTGCAAGGCATTATCCTTGCTTTTCCTTGGAAATCTCATTAAATTGGCCAGTTTATGGCTTTTAAAATAAAGGTTAAATCATTTGTGTTATTAAAATGGAAAGGTTAGAAATGAAGAACTGTTGTTACCATTTAGTTCTTATATTGTAAAAATAAAAACTTACTATGAAAGAAAATCAGAAGAGGGGAAAAGAGAAATAAATAAATGCCCAGCAGTTTTCTTTAAAAAAAAAAACCTTTATGCTTGTTTTCCTTAAAATGAACACTAGCAGATGTTCAAACATATGTTATTTGTTTATTTATGTGCTGGGGACTTAATGCAACACTATCCAGTAGTTGCTGGCTAGTTTTGCTCTCCAGAGCCATTTCAACCAGTGCCAAAATATTTCATAGCTGACACATAACTTACCTGAGTCTAGGGGACAATTACATGCAATTCTCTCTTAATGGGAAACTTTGGTTTCTGCTTCTCTGAAAGGACTTTTTTTTTTGAATGATATAGGCTTCCTTCTTGCTACTATCCATGTTTGACAAAAGGACATGATTACAGTATTACAAGCAAGGCCAGCAGGTAACAGACAGTTATGGGCATATGCTATGTTTAATAGTAGACTGCAGGTCACCTGCTATTCTTGTTTAAAATAGAAATGTAAAGGCTACTGAGCCAGACCAGGTTAATAGTAGCAAAATTTTAAAAATCTGATCATAAAAAATTTAAATCATTATTCAGAATGACAAGTCCTGCTGGAAAAGAAGATACATTTTAATAGTACACTATATCTAACATTGAATTAATAAATGTATTTTAGTCCTTTTCTTTCATTTCAACTCTTTGGTTTTAAAAACTTCATCCACATAAAGGAAAACTACTACACTGAAAATAAATTTCATAAAGAAATCATTTGTTACATTATCCCAGTGATTCATTTTAAAAGCATATTGTTCTGTAGAAGACTTAGTTTTGCCTACTCTCTCATAAAACCTTTCTGTATTTTTCTGTTTTTAAATGGTCGATTTTGTTCTGGTTTTTCAAGAATTTGGTTTTCTCCTTGTGAAATACAAGGCTCATGTTACTATTAAGCAAGAATAAGTTATCAAAGCTTAGTCTTCAGTTAGAATAGCCAGGTGGCTTTGATGTAGTTGGTTCATTTCAGTCTTGTAATTATGTCATAAAACAAAGGAATGGAAACCGGTTGAAAGTTCATAATGGATTTTTAAAAATTTCTATTTTAATCCAATTTCTGTTTGGAACGATCACGAATTTGATACAGTAAAGTCTACCATACCTCAAAAGCCTTCAAAATGTTCCAAAAGATGATAAGAAATTGTAAATTTTAATGTGAGAAGAAGGGAAATGAATTAATGCATGGGGAGTATCTGATTTTTTTTAAAATTTCTTTTCTATAATTTTAATTCAGTTTAAATGTATTCTTGGTTACATGTTTTTAAAGCTTTATATGTCATAACAATTAAAATGGTGGGATGTATGTTAAAGAGAGGAAAAATAACTAGCATTTTTTTAAAAAATGTGTACTTTTAACAGTGTAACTACTAATCGAGGGAGTCAAATGTCAATTTCCTTGTTTTATTAGATAGAAGAGTTTCGAGGACTGAGGAATCATATTAAAGGGGCGGAGCTCCTAGAAGGTTGCGATGGAAATTTAGGAGATAATTTCAGACCAACACAGCCACTTAATGACAGAGTCATAAAGGCTGCTTTCCAGTAGCAGAGACAAATTATTTAAAAAAGAAAGAAAAAAAGAAAGTCAAAATATTGGTAAGTGGAAAATGAAAATACTGACTTGTATAAAATATGACTTTTGTGCTAACTTTTGCATAATTTCCATTAAAGAGTCAAAGAATCACAGAGTTGAAAGAGGACATTTACGCCTTAAATCCAATCTTGCACTGTGCAAAAGTCTTAATATAGGATTCCCTGGCAAATAGCAATTTGGCCCCTTTGTTTTAACATATCCAGTGAAAAGAAGCTCATTTCCTCTTTGACTAATTGTTTCCACTTTTGTCAAATTGTTCTTACTATTATAGTTTTGCCCTAATATTCATATTTCCTAATATTTCTCCCAATAATTTAAATCCATTCTGTGTTCTGTACTCTGGAATGGCAGAAAATAAACCTTAACCTTTGTCAGATGTTCATTTCAGACATTTGAGGAAAATGCTGTCATGTTCCAGGACCTGTCAATAGTCTTCTCTTCTCAAGGCTGAAAATTTTGAATTGTTGTTGATAACTTTTAGGACAGGTCCTTATAATTTAGCTTATACAGGTACGTCTTGACTTAACCATCACTTAACAAATGCTGTGTTCACTTAACAACCATGGATTCATTGATCAGCTATGGTGATATATCCTAACAATACCACAAAAAAAAAAAGTAAAATCGAATCTTGTCACGGGGTACCTTGACTTATGACCGCAATGACTTAATACAAGAAATCTATTCCCAACCATGGTCATAAGTTGAGGACTACTTGTAAATAAAATTCTAAAAGTAATGAATTTTATTAGGATCACATAACATTTAACTATCTCAGAGTTTTCAGATTTGGAGAAATAAAACAATCCTTATAACATGCTTAGCTGAAAGCTAGGAGGTTAAGACAATTGTTTTATGGTGGTGGCAAGGCCATCAACTAAATGAATTGCCCTGTGCCCAATTTTATAATAGGCCAAGCAGCAGAATCTCAAATTGCAATGACAATAATTAGTCTACTCAATGCTGGTTTTATAAATTGTAACATCATTCATATAGTTTTTATTCTCATAATGGACAAAATAAAGAGGTGGCTGACCTATTAAATTCTACAAGATCCCTTTCCTTAATCTTGTTTCTTCAGCAGTTCTCGATGCAACAAGATGAGATGCTAGAGCTCCATTATTGGATTTTTTTTTTTTTAATTCTATGCAAAGCAGTTTCAGGTTTCCTGGAAATGGATTAGGAGCACAATACTCTTCTGTTCCAAACCCCTTTCCAATAAAACAAACACGAACCAAAGGGAACAGAAACCTTTTAATGATTCTTACGAATCCCCGGTTAAAAGGCTGCTGCAAACTAATTAACTTTGATAAGCACAAGCCTCGCCAATAACAGATAAGAAATATTTTACAACACAAGAGTCTTCAAATACCAACTTAAGATACTGCAATGTCCATGAGGCTGGAGTTTCAAAACGTTTTTGCTTCCTACAAAGAACATCCAATTCATAGCTGGCTTTTATCTTCTTGAAGGAGGGTCCATTACCTTGCAGCCTTACTCCTGAGTCACCTGTGCTGTTGCAGCTGCTCTTTCCTAAGAGCAACCCTGCGTGCATGTGCACTTGGCACATGTTCCTTGGGAAATTCCTCATCGTTGCTGCCATCCCTCACAATCTCTGAAGGCAGCAGTCCACTCCCTAATGGTCCTCATCTGAGTCCTTGCTCTCCTCAGCCATCCGCACCTGCCGCCCGCTGACTACAAAAAAATATGGAGAAAGATGAAGAGTAATGTTTTGTCCACTGCACTATTTTTAAATGTAAATCCTCTCAGTTGTTGCTTTTTGTTTTATTCTCAGTGTTTCCCTTAATGAGGGAAATAGTGCAGGAAATCAGGAAAAGTGCCACATAGGAAAATTTGAAAGGAAAAGTTTTAAATCTTTTATTCAGTCAAAGTGTCAGTTCAATATGGGATGTTCAATACTTGATTTTGAAATAAATGATAACGCTGATTTTTGTATATTCAACATATCATTTTGCTTGTTTTTGTCTGAAAAGAAATGAAGGTTACATTGGCTGCAATTTTTTAAATAACTTGCAATTTTAGAAGCTATAATAGAACTGAACATAGAATATATTAATATTTATGGAAGGGGATATTCAGTTAGAATTGTAGAGCATAAATGTCAGGTTCTTCATATTATTTTGTCCCATACTGGTTCAAACATTTAACCTCCTATCAAATTATATTTAGTGATTTTGCATTATTTTGTATTTTTGATGCACATCACAAACATGCTAAACAAAATTACAGGGTAATAGGGTTTCTGCAGTATTTGCCTTTATGGTTGCAAATTAGTCTAAGAATTCATTTGGATACCACACTAAGCTATAACAAAGTAAAGCTAGTGCATGACATTAAAATCATGTTCTTTGCTTACTTTCATAGAGGTAGCTAAACCACAAATGGGTTTCTATCTGTAGCTTGCTAACTGTTTTGCACAAACCATGAACTCTAACTTACAACTTGGACTTGTTCAAATAGGAATTTTAATTACACAATGAACACAATGAAAAATATATTAATCATGATATACTATGTATTTTTTTCACCTCCTAGACCCTTTATTCTGATTTGAGCCAGTTGATCTTGCCTGAAGATTGTTTGGTTTTGGACCTGCCTAAAAGCTATTAAAAGAGTCACCTTAGAATTCTTTCTGAATAATGGTTCAAATTGCTGGATGCTTTCATGAAGTTACTGAACTGAATTTTCCTAGCAAGAAATATGAACTACCCTTTGAATTGACATTTTTTTAACCTTGATTCTTACTCTACTACTTGCTTGTTGGCTTCAATAGTTTTCCAACTGCTTCAAGTCAATTCCAATACTCTGCATTAATTGAATGTATATTCACTTGGTGTAGGACTACTTTTAGTATAGACTGAGTATAGTATATGTGCACATTAATGTTGTTATATGAAAACTGAATTTAATGGCTTCCTATAAACAAGAAGTGATTGAATCTATTTCTGTTATGAGCCCTTTTATGTTCTGTCCTAGAAGCAAAGCACACAGCAGTGGAACTCAAGATAATTTGATGTGCCTGGTGACAACTAGCAGTGGAAGGACTTCATCCTGGAAGTGCTGTGAAGCTTGTGTTTGTCATATTGTCACAAATTGTCACATAAAGGCGTGATGTGAAAAAAGTATTTTGTTAGTTTGTTAGTAATTGATGATTGTAGAATCTGTTGTGTTAAATCACCCAGTCTTAAAACACGTCGAAGTTTTTTAATACTTAATTCCTTTTCTACCTTCCTCCCAAAATAAGATATGTAGGACACTCATATTTATGCTATGATATGTGATACGAAGAAAAGATGAAAAGGGATACTTCAAAAGACTTAAATTTACAGAGTACCTTCTTTTAAATATGTATGTATTTTCATACTTATATCAGTTTGACACCATATAAATTATTCACAGTAATAACACAATAACACAGAGAGGATTTTGCAGACTGCAGTTATTGAACATGCACTTACACATGAGTGTTTGATATACCTTATGAAAGAAAGCACATCCATGAAGAATTTATGAGAAAGAATGAAATATTCAATTATTTTGTGTTTGTTTTCTGGAAAAATAGTTCTTTCTTCTTTAATTATTGCCCTGAAAAGAAAGATCACTAATTTAGCCAAGGGATTTATTCTTTAAGAAAACAATTAAAAGTTGAACTTAGAAATTTCTTGAATAGAGAAGAATAGAGATTAATCTAGGGTTCTTGATTGAACCAAAGATTGTCAGAGGAACTGAAAATCTTGTCCAATAAAGAAATGAAACTGGAAAATAGAACTAAAGGTGCAAGAGAGAAGGATGGGGAGAAAACTTTCCAGAAATAAAGTTGCAGTTAGTCCTGATTTAACAATTGTAACGGGGACTGAAATTTCCATTTCTAAGCAATGCGTTCATAATGTGTGACATTGTAAGATTGCATTGCTTAATGATGGCAATTCTGACAGTCCCTATTGCTATTGTTAAATGAAGATCATGGGTAAAGTGACAAGACTGAGTCACTCACAAGCTGGCCAAAAGGTGCAACGTGAGCATGATCATGTGGTGGGTGGCTACTGCCAAGTGTGGAAAGGCATCCAGGTGATTGCCATGGCACAATAGAAGGCGGGAGGGACTGTTGCCTGACATAGGAGTGTGCACACCTGGCTCATACTTTGTAGTCAGACTCCACAGGAAAAAAAGCAGTGAGAATGGTAGTGACTTACAGGAGTGACTTATGACCATTGATTTTGTTTGTAGGAAGCTGGCAAGGAAAGTTGCAAACAATCATCAAGTGACCACTGGACACTGCAACTGTTGTGTGACCTAGTTGTCACCAGCCCAAATTGTGATTGCATGATGGAGAGAAGTCGACCAGAACTTTGGGGACCAGTCATAGATACCATTTGCTCAGCACCATCATAACTGAATTGTTGCTGAATGAGTGGTTGTTAATTGAAGCATCAAAAAAGTTACTGAGGAGAACTGCAATGCATTGAGACCAGAGACATTAAATGAAAAGAAATGGAAAATTCTGCAGTGAAGAGTGTGATGTAGCTGAATGGACTTATCCCCTATTGTATTTTATTTGCTATTTGTTTGACGAGGAATTTTGAAGCAACTTCTGAAAAACTTCTGGTCTTCTCTTGCAAGTGACATTTTTTCACATACTGATTCTATGGGGCAGAATAATGGGACAGATTAGCATGATAGAAACACCATCTTTTCTTGATTGCAGTATATGTACCAGTGTATGTACAAGAGGAATAGGAAACTCAGTTATGCTGCCAGGATTTTCATCATGGATGGATGTGTCCTTCCAACTCACAGTATGAAGTTGAAATCCTGATTTTAAAAGTTGTAAAGTTTGAAAAACACTGGCTTAGATTGTAAGGTAAAGTTTAATGACATATTTAAATGCTATATTATAGCAGCCTATTAAAACTGCATGGGGCTCTCTGAAGGTTGATTTAATTTGAATTTCAACTGGATTATCTCTATAAAACCAACCTTCATATTATTTCAAGACTTTAAGTGGAGAAACTTCTGAAGAACTGCAGAAGCTTCTTAGATGAGAAGCAAAAACTTTTCAAAGGAAAAAACAAGAAAGAAAAAAAACATTCTTGCTGAAGAAAATCCAGTTGCCTTTTGGAAAAAGCTCCTTTGGATGAACTTATACACTAGGTTGCTCTCTGTCAAATATTTACTTGGTACTGGTATATAGACTAACTTTTTCCAACCAGCTGACAATTATGTTATTCCTCAGATTTGCTGATATATGTTAGTTAGAACCTTTACAGGTAGCTTTTTTGACTTGGCACTAACTGGAGTGCTGATCTAACTTTATATTTTAGTATGAGAGATTCTTGTAAAAAAATAATGTCTTTTAAGATAGCTTAGATATTAATACTTCTGCTATACAGAATTTCAGCATACACCTTCCATCTTTCTTAGATATTCTCTGAATCAATTATCATTTATCTATTGCTGTTCTTTTACATACCAGTTCAAGATTTGTATGGAAAGCTCTTTCAGAGTTCACAGATCTTTGGAAGGCTTTCCTTGTTTTTTCCTGTCTCTTTTAATTTTTGATGCCTTTACAGTTGTCATTGTAATTTTTAACAGTTCTCTGAAATTCTTTGTTAAGTTTCTCCCCTAGATCTTTGTCTTTCGTGGCCTTGGGTTTCTCTTCTAGGCAATTTCCATCGTTTATTCTTGGTCTTTGGCAGTCTCTTTTCAAATTCTTTGTTAGCAACTTCTGTGATTTCTTTCTGGTTTTCTGCTAGTTCTCAATTGATAAGATTCAGGAATTCTAAGTGATTCTTGGTATTTTTCTGGAAAATGGTGAGTATAAGATCAAGAATATATCATGTCCAATTCTAATGTAGCATATTAATCATGTATCATTCTAAGCCTCATCAAATGAAAAAAGTGTATAATATAAAAATCGTCAGATATGAATTAAAGAAGCAAGTTTACTAGAATAATAAGATTCTTATGAAGCCAATATGATTTCAAATGTAAAAGCAATATATTGTTATCAAGATGTAGTTGTATAACTAAAAAAAGAAAATGTGACTACCCCCTAAAGTGTTATTTTTTATATGTTAATACAATCAGATATTAATTTTTAAGGAAGGCTAAAGGAACGTACTTTGATGTAATAAATTTTAAATCAGGTGAAGTAATTTGTATTATGCTCTATATAATCACTACTTTTAATAAAATTCATTTTTATCAATACTTTACAGACAAGTTTCATTTCTTTAATACTTGGAGTATATTTCTTATATCAATCCAGCTCAGTTTCATTTGGTTTTATTTTGGAAGGAGTACTCAGCTTGAACAAGTATATAATGTTTAAATACAATTATGGACTAATTAACTACTCAATCACTCTCACATCACACCAGGGACAGGCAAGAAATAATGGAGGTATTGTACAGAAATATATAAGAGAGCTGTGTTAATTAGTTTAGTGCTAATTGAGGCCGAAAAAGTATACGCTTGTCCTAAGAGATTTTAGCAAAAGCCATTATAATTGCAATGTTGCAGCTTAACTTTTTATATCTTGACATGGAATATGTACAATAGGCCATGTTCAAAATTAAATGATATATTTCTATTTTCTTGTAAGTACTTAGTTAATGTTTTCTCAGAACTTTGTTCAGTGGTCACTGGCATTAAAGTTCTACAATCAATAGTCAATGTGCTAAAGAATCCTTTTACTCACATTAAAAAAAATGATGATTTTAAAAAACACAATAATATAAGTGATCAGAAATTTCCAGAATTGGAATTATTAGAGAAACCCAGTCATGTCTAGAAGATACAAAGTACAAATATCATCCCAACTACAGGCATGGTCAAATAGACAATGAAAGCATATGTGTTGTCTAATGATAATGAAGTCTTTATAAAGGCTTAATAAAATGTGTGTAGTGTTTTGCTTCATTGGATTACATTCATTTCACCAAATGGAAAACTGATGAGACTGAAAAACTAGTAATTTGATCAAGAAACCAAACCTTTCATGGTAGAGATAAAGGAACCTGTGAGATTTTTGGTCCCACTTCCTAATAGTCCAAGCTTTAATTTTAAAAACTGTTTTGAAAATGGCTGCCCTGAAGAGTTACTGCCAAAGGGTGTATGTCCATTTTAGAAATTTTTGCTCTTTAGCCTAATGGTATGTGTGAAAGAGGAAAGTAAGTTGGAACTCTTTGCAGATTTCTTTATCATACTCATTGTATTTGCCCTTTTGCTATCATCTCTGTCAATCTTCTCATCCAATTCACGAATCTTCTTTTCCCGGGTAAGTCATCTTAGATATGTGCACAATTTCTCTGCTGCATGCCACCACTCTGTCTTCTTGCTGCTAGTGTTTTCATTTAATTTCCCTGCATTATTGTTCTCCATCCTCACCTTTTCCCCATACTCACTTCTTTCTACATGTGTTGTTTCATCCTTCTCCATCTTCGTCCCACTTTCTCTGCACTTACCTTCCTCTCTGTCCTCAGCCATAGAAATTAGTGGTGGTTCAGAGCCAGTCATAGAATTGGAAATGGGGGACAACCATTCTTTGAACCACATTGTGCACCTGGGCAGTGACTTCATGGGGCTGCCATTGATGGCAACTGGAAATTGAGAATTAAGCCCTACTGATTTCCCCCAGTAACAACAGGCTGCATAATATTTTTAGGCTGAAATGAAATTGATAAATAATTCATGCTATGATTTAAAAAAAGTACTAAAAG